ACAAGACAAAGAGCAAAAGATACAAAATATAAGATGGACAAGGGGATATAATTGGATAAAGCATGTAAAGTAAAATGGAATATGTATATAGTAGTAATTGGATATGCAACTAGGTATAAGGACTCTAAAATGTGTGTAAATTGAAATATGGAATGTTTGTAATAAAACTGAAATAATAATAATAATAATAAAAAAGAACATGACTCCTGTCCTTCAAGAAGAATCGGTAAAAGGATTACTCCCCCCCCCCCATGCACACTCGCGCACGCCCCTCACTGGGCTATCCAGGTCAGGGCTTTTACTCTTTAAAGAGCTTTTATTTTTTTCCCCAGCAGCCATACTTTACTGTGCAGCTTTTATGGGAAAGGGGAAAGGGGAAAAGGGAAAGGAGGGGGAGGGGGCCCTTTCGCCTGCTTTTCTTGTCACCCTTTTATTTGATTTATTTTTATGTTATTATTTTTGTGATTTCTGAAGTGATGTCATGCCCGCAGTCCCGCCCCCCCCCCCCCCCAAATAAAATTTTCTGGCTACAGGCCTGACTGTGACTAAACAAATATAACTTGAAAAGAGAATATTAAGAACATATTGCTAAAAATATTAGACAAACAAGATTTTTTTTAAAAAAAATTCAGAAACAAATTGCTGATCTGCTAACAAAAATATGCAACTTATGGCAAATATTGCTTTCCTTTCTAGTCACATATGACACCAATTTTTAAAAAGAGATCCAGAGGAGATATAGGAAATTATAGGCCAGTTGACTTCATGTCTTTTCCAAGTACATTGATGGAAACTGTTATTAAAGACACAGCCATTAAACTCATAGAAGAATAAGCCCTCCTGAAGAGGAAGAATCAGCATGGTTTCTGTAAATCCTGCCTCACCAACTTTCACAGTTCTTTGAGAGGGTTTTAACAAATGGGTGGGCAAGGATGATCTAGTAGACTTTATGACTTGGACCCAGACTAGTATTGCCACAGGTACAAGAATTTCCACTCACAGAATGTGATTTTTCCTCCTTTACCCTCTGTGGGTGCCTCAAATGCCCCCTAAATCCTGTTTCTGGGGGGCCTCTGTCCCCCCCAAAAAAGAAAGTTGCGTTCCATGGGTGGACATCCTTGCACTCAGGGCCGGCTCACTCACTAGGCGAACTAGGCGATCGCCTAGAGTGAGCCGGCCCTTAGGGGCACCAAACTGCACCCGGCCCCGTACTCTGGGAGTTTCTTGATTATTTGTGTTTTTCATTCTTCCTAAAATGCATTTATTTTTTTTTAATTGGTGGAGGCGCCGGTGGGGGGGGGGCGCCAGAAGGGATCCCCACCTAGGGTGCAAAATAAGCTGGGGCCGGCCCTGCTTGCACTCATGGAAAAACTAGTTTAGATCCAAGCCTACATGTACTTGGGAGTTCTTAAAAACATTTGACAAAGTTTCTCACCAAAGCCTCCCATGTAAACTAAGCAATCCATGGATAAAATTATGGGTCCTCTTTCTGGATTAAAATTTGGTTAAATTACAGGAAACAGATAACAGGATTAATTGAAAGCAAATAAGTAGTGTATTTAGACCCGTACTATTTAATATGTTCCTGAACTGAGGCTAAGTATTGAAGTTACTATCAGTACAATTCTAAGCAGAATTACACCCTTCTAAATTCATTCAGCTCAATGGGCTCAGAACGGTGTAATTCTGTTAAAGATAGATCAAGATGGCTAGCTGTGTTAGTCTGTCTGTAGCAACAGAAAAGAGTAAGAATCCAGCAGCACCTTAAAGACTAAGAAAATTTGTGATAGAGTATGAGCTTTTGTGAGTTACTGCTCACTTCTTCAAATAATCTTAATCTGTTTAAAATTGCACTGTATATTTGCAGATTACATCAAATTAGTTAGGATGGTGAGAGGACCAGAGCAAATTGTGAAGGGTTCCAAAAGAATCTCTCCAAACTGGGTGAGTGGGCAACAGTGTGGCAAATAAATTTCAATATCAAGTGATGCACATTCAGGGGCAATTTCCCCCCTAATTTTGATAATTATCTCTGTCTGTCTGTCTGTCTGTCTGTCTGTCTGTCTGTCTGTCTGTCTATCAGGACTCAACCTAATGTGAAATGTAGCAGAGAAAAAGGAAAATTCTATGCGGGCGGAGAATGGGGCCGCTTTTTGGTGCGCTCTCCTTGTGCTGCGGTGAGACCCGCAGTGCCGGCGGAGGTAGAGGCCGCAGCTTTAAGTTTGCCCATTTGAGTTGTGCTGGCGGCAGAGCGTTTTCCCTCTCTTTTTCTGAGAGGAATCAGTTCAAGTCTCCCTGGTCTGACATGTTCCAGGCCGGAGCGTCAGGGGGGAGTTCAGTCAAGGAAAGAAAAAAGGTAGAAGAGAACAAGCGGGGGAGGAGGCACAGAGAAGGAGGAACATCTACAGAGTTAAGGCCAAAAGCAGAAAGCCAGTAGAAACAGAAAGTAGTCAAAAAGGCACGAGTGCCAACTTCGTGCTGCTCTCCCTACTGAGGCAGGAAGAGAAACTGAATTGAGGGCATGTCCCACCAAGAGGACAGGAAGTGAAGTTTTGGTTCCTGCCTCCCTAAGGATAGGGTGGGAAACACCCATCAAGATGTCCTCCTCTCAGAGGGAGAAGGGGCAGAGAAAGGCAGCTAAGAAAAAGGGGTTGTAGAATCATAGAATCATAAAATGTTAGAGTTGGAAGGGACCTTGCAGGTCATCTTTCAGCCTTTCCTCATAAGCCTTGGATTCCACCCCTCTCACCATCCTGGTTGCCCTCTTCTGGACATGCTCGAGCTTGTCAACATCCTTCCTAAAATGTGGTGTCCAAAACTGGACACAGCACTCCAGGTGAGGCCTGACCATAGCAGAATCAAGCAGAACTACCACCTCCCATGATCTGGACACAATGCTTCAGTTAATGCATCCTAAGATTGCGTTAGCTTTCTTCGCAGTCACATCGCACTGCAGGCTCATGTTTAGCTTGTGATCAACCAAAACACCTAGATCAGGGGGTGTCAAACATGCGGTCCAGGGGCCAGATCAGGCCTCTGGAGGGCCTCTATCAGGCCCGCAGTGGAACTGGCTGTCTTCTGCTTCTTCTTCCAGTTCTGCTGCATCATTGTAGGTTTGCAGCTTACAGATACACACCTGAACAGCATACTCAAGATTGCTACAGCACAGACATTTGGATGCAATAATTCAGAGCAAGAGGTGTCAGTTATCAGAGACTGTTAAATAGACAAAATATTGCAAAAATGCTAGTGTTTTAAGCATGCTTTATTTAAAGTTTAAAAAACCTTTAATTGTGTTACTGTCCTTTATAAAGTTTATATATCTGCTACCTGGCATTACATTTTATGACACACGTGGCCCGGCCCAACAAGGTCTCATTTATGTCAGATCTGGCCCTCATAACAAATGAGATCGACACCCCTGACCTAGATCCCTTTCACGTGTGCTGCTGTCAAGTCAAGTCCTTCCCTAAGGAGCTTAAGGACTTTTAGTTTAGAGAAAAATTATTGGGTTGGGGAGATATGATAGAGGTTTATGAAATATTTACAGGGCAGAGCATGTGCATGGAGAGAACATTTTCTCCCTCTTCCATAATGCTAGAACTCACAGGCATCAGCAGTAGATTCAGGAAACACAAATGGGAGCAGTTCTTCTCTCAGAGTAATTAACTTGTGGAATTCTCAAGAATGCCTCAGGATATGATGATGGCCAGCAGTTTGTTGGCTTTAAAGGGGGATTAGACACATTTATGGAGGATAGGCTCATTAATGCCTGTTAGTTACAAGGACTCAATGGAATTGAGCACCAAAACCCTCTGGATACCATTGGTAAGACGCAACAGCAGCAGGAGGCTTTGGCTCTGTTTGGCCAGTTTGGTGTAGTGGTTAAGTGCGCCGACTCTAATCTCGGAGAACCGGGTTTGATTCCCCACTCTTCCACATGCAGTTGCTGGGTGACCTTGGGAAAGATGCTGTTCTCTCAAGAGCAGTTCTCAGAGAGCTCTCTCAGCCCCACCTACCTCACAGAGCATCTGTTGTGGGGAGAGGAAGGGAGGGAGATTGTAAGCCACTCTGAGACTGTGAGAGAAGGGTGGGGTATAAATCCAATCTTCTGCCTGCCAGCCTTCTGGGGACAATGTGTGAAACAGGACACTGGACCACTGGTCTGACCCCACATGGTTGCGCTTAAATTCTAACATGTCATCACATTGCAAGACTTCCCACCCTTAATGCTACTATGTTGACTACCACTTCTGGGAAATGAGAATATATTTTATATTAATAGAGTTAGTTAACAGAGAGAAAAACAAGAAACACAGAGCTGCTGGTATTTGGGAGTAGTATCCAGTCACCACATGACCTAATTCTGCCCAAAAAATGGCTCTCCAGAGTCAGGCACCTAACCAACACATGTTCACATGGGCAGAATTGTGCTTAAAAAACAAAACCCAATTCTTCCAAAGTTGATGGTGCAATGGGTTATAAATAGTCTCTCAAATTATCTAAATAGTCTAGTGCAGAGTGAGAAGAAAAGCAATAGGAGGATATTCACTTGGACAGTCACCTGAACAAAATTACCAATAGGATTACATTAGGACAGGAAGCTAGTCTTATCCTCATTAGTATAATTGTAGGCTCTTTCTTTTACTTTTCTTTCAAACTAATGAATTAAATTAATCTAGGTTCATTTTTATAAACCTCTTGAGTCCAAACATGGAGGACAGTCATTTTAGAAAACAATAAATTTTAAAAAAGCATGCAGCATGCATTAAGTGTGCGTATTTCATAAGACCCTAGGTTAATACAACTGGCATCTAGTGTAATTAATCCTTGTTAGTATAACAACTAATATCCCTCCCTAGCATGTTTCCTTTAAACATTAGGATGTTAATTAAATGTTTACTGGTTTCCTCTCTTTTGGGGGGGAGGGGGAAAGAGGATTTTTGTCTGTTATCTTCAATATAACACAATATCATGTAATACTTATTCTGAATAAATACCTTATAGAGATGTTTCCTTACAATATCTGGTCTCTTGCAGAAATTCTGAAGCCTTTTAAAAAGCTGTTCAGGTGTAGAATACAGATATTCAGCTGCAGGAAAAAACAGATACATTTTTAATGAAACAAAAACCTCAAAGAACACACTCGATATTAGTCACTTTACTAATTAAAAATGCATATTGCTCTGTGCCGCCTCGTGTTTTACATTATTTAAGCATGATTTTATAAGGTTACCTCAGCTCACAAGGATGTTTAATGCTAAATAAGACTGTGTAGTTGTGCTGTTTAGACATCTCCTTTGGGTGATTAAAATACATTATTCTAATGTAACACAATGCATATGTGATACATTTAGTGATGAGATTTTTCAAAGGACTGGTACTACATTAGTGTGTATCCTGTAGCATGGTTGCATATTATTAAGTATTAAATTGTTTAAATAATTTGGTATGATTTTTCAGGCCTCAATTTTTCTCTCTGTGTGTTATTAAAAAAATCTGCAAGCTATTGCAGCCACAGCGACCTTTTAAACAAAAATCTATCATTATAGACCGTGTATGCTAACAATGAAGAATGCTATTTCAAAACTTGGTTTTGTGTTATCTTGAAAGAACAGATGGTAAATATAAACTTCGTCTAATGTATTAAAACACATTTAAAAAATTCCTCAGCACTAACATGGTAGCTTGCCAAATCAACAATTGCTCTTGCTTAAGTTTATTGTCAAACTTTGTATTTTAAAATTAACCATGAATTAAAACATCAACAGAAAAATAAATTTTTAGGCGCAAAACTACCTGGAAACATTTCTGGGTAGACCAAAGCCTTGGGACAGAGTGGATAACAGCTACAATACACAGCTTCTATCCTAAAAAGGAGAAAATCCATAGCAGTTAACTATTATTACATTATGGAGCTACCAAATTTACTTGTGGCCAACAGCACAGAAGTTGGCTGCAACATCATATCCACTATACTTCACTGTAATCTCCCTAAACGCCAAAGTTGCTCTTTTTAAAGATAATTTTATTGATCACATGAATTACATAGAACAGAACAGTGAGCATATGTTTTTGTTCACTGAATAAATCAAAGCACAGTTCTGTATTTTTAAAAAATGCTGCTCAACACGTTTTTATAATCAGCAGACATGGCAAAGTGTGGCCACTGGCCAGCTTTTCTTCACAGCAACTGGAGAGAAGACCCCACAATACTCATTTCCCACAATACCCTCCTTCAAAATGTTGTCAAACACTAATACCAACGGATGGACATCACAGAGCAGTCACTGCAAGCCTGCAGCCCATTTATACAACCATAAGATCTTCCAAAAACAATGATACTTTATTATTATTATTATTATTATTAT